TAGCTGCTCAGGCGGAGGTGGGGGCGGGCAGGGGACACGGGCGGCTGGCAGCTGCAGGCGGAGGAATGCGCAGCCTTCCTCTTCTCCCTCCGGGTACGCGCAGGGGGAGAGTGGTGTCCAGGACAAGCGTTTCCCCAGCAGCTCGGCCCTCTGGTGGGCTTGCAGCCTTCCCCTCCATCCGCGAGGCCCGTGGGTGCCGTGGTCAGCCCCGATGGTCAGCTGGGTGCAGACACACCCGGAGAGGGGCCGCTGTGGGGGCAGGGGTTGCAGGAGTGCGTCTGTGTGCTCACAGGGACCACCTCCTTGGCCGGGAACACACCATGTTTGCCGAGCAGGCTGCCCAGAGGGCCCACACTCTGCTGTCCCCGCCGTCAGCCAGCAACGCCACCTTTGCCCGAGTGCCCGTGGCGACTTACACCAACTGCTCCCAGCCCTTCCGGCTGGGGGAGCGCAGCTTCAGCCGGCAGTATGCCCACATCTATGCCACCCGCCTCCTCCAGATGAGGCCCTTCCTGGTGAGCCGGGCCCAGCAGCAGTGGGGTAAGTGACCGGTGCGGGAGGCACCTCCTCCCACCGGCCTGAGACGTGGCAGCACTGGGGCGTTTCGTGTATCCCCCCCCCCCCCCCCCCCGCCGCCGGGGGGAGCACCCACTTTCAGCTCACTGTCTTCTTCAGGTGCCGAAAGGGTTAAGTCAGGTGTCACGTGAGGCGTGGTCAGCAGGGCCTGGTTGGTGGTAACTGGTCTTGCACTGGCGGAGGGACAGGTCTTCCTTGTCCTCAATGCAGGGAGCACCCGCCTCCATTGGAGGGGCCTGTTTTCACTGACCTCCGGCCTCTGACCTGCTGTCTCTCTCCTGGGTATGTGGCCTGGGCAGTGCAAATCTTTTTTTTTTTTTTTACCCGTTTCTTCCTTGGTGGCCTCTCCTGCAGTTACGTTATTCTTGGTGGTGAACCAGGACCCCTTCCAATTTTGGGAGACACTGCATTATCCATTGTCACTGCAGGAGTGGCTTCCCATGTAGTGTTCAGTTAACCTGTTAGTGTTACTCAGCTGACACTGTGTCGGTGAGACCCCGTCTTACTCGTTTTTACTGCCGGGCACCAGGCGCGGGGTCTCAGCGCTGGCTGCACACTGGCCCCAGGAAAGCTTTGGGGAGCGCAGAGCCCAGGCCCACCCCGCAGGCCAGTTGGATGGACTGGTTTTACCAGCGTAGCCAGAGAACACGGCCAGTCCCCAGCTAGATGGTCACATTCACTGAAGAGTTCTGTTTTCTTCGCTGCAGGCAAAGTGTTTTTCACCTTCTGCCACCTCGTAAGGTCTCCTTCCACTGGCTCCCAAGGGCCTTCTCCTCACTTTCCTGGGAGCCCGGGGCACACCCTCAGGCCCCGTGTCACTGACCTTATAGATTCCTTACAGCAGCGCCCTCTCTGGTACCAGGTTTCTCTTCCAGTCCCTACTGCTGGTAACAGCACTCCCCAGAGATGGAACCACCACCTCATCTGCTCACAGACTGGGGCCAGGAACCCAGACAGTGGCCCACAGTGCACGGCAGCATTGCTCCTCACGGGCCTGGCTGTCATTCTGGCTTCACCCTGAACACCTTCACGCAGCTTCCAGTGTGGCCAGGAGTCCTCTCCGGAGCTCGGCCTGGGCGGAGAAGCGCCTCTCCATCCCCGCTTCCTGACAGGCCGGCCCTTTCTCGCCTGCGGCTCTCCCCTCTCCGGCTTGCTTCGTCTCCAGACTCCCTGGGGACCTCGGGGTGGATGTCATGTGCTTCAAGGGGCCACCTCAGCCTCCAGGGCCTCCTCCATAGCCTGGCTTAGCTGCCGTGTGTGGCACTCGTCACAGTGGCTGTGCGCTCGGCCTGGTGCTCAGACCTGTTGCCGAGCCTCTGTGCCTCGGTTTCCTCGGCCACACGAGGGCTGTTGGGCTGGGGGACTCCATGCACAGTGCTCGGCGTCGTCGCCTGGGGGTGAATGCGGCTGCGATGTTGGGGCCTTGGGGTCTGTGGTTCCTGTTGGCGCCCTCCTCATCTTGTTCTGAACCACTCTTCTCCACTCCCCCGGGTCGACCTGGTGTATGTTCTTGGTTATTCCAGGCAGGAGGGATTCATGCTGCAGTCGGCGGGCTGAGGAAGGGGCTGGTCCCACAGCCACACGATCCCATCACCTCCCGTGGGCGTTCTCCCCAGGCCTGGGGGCTGACAGATCCAGGGGCCTTTGGCAACCTGTGTTCTTCCTCCCTGCGCCCCCTGAGGACCAGCCTGTACTGTGCATCCTGATGGTCCCCGTGGTGTCCCAGGACCCCAGGCGCCTGACTCCACAGGGAGCCGACGGGGCGTGTGGGATGTGGTTTGATTTGGTGGTGTCTCTGTTTTCAGAGGATGAAGCGTTCATGGAGCTCTCGGAAGAGTCCAAACTCTTAAAGGAATTTGTTATATTTTTCAGACAGGGCTATGTGGAGACTGGGCACACCTGTCTTTCTAAGAACCAGTGCTCTAATGTCGGTGTAAACAAGGTAGAGCCTGTGTTAGGGGCCTGTGGCTGCTGTAACAACAGAGCAGCTTAAAGCACATTTCTTCTCCCGTCTGGAGGCCGGAGTCCGGGGTGCAGGTGTCACAGGGCTGCACTCCCTCAGAGGCTCCAGGGAGAGTCCTTCCCACCTCCTCCAGCTCCGTGACTGCTGGTGCTCCAGGCTGTGGCCCTGTCACCTCAGACATCACCCTCTCTGCATGTCTGCTTCTCAAACGGACCCGCCCGGGGCCCGTCCACATCCCGAGTCCCCTGTCCCCCTGGGGCCAAGCAATCCTTTAGGTCTAGGGGGTCTTTGCCCTCGGTGAACTCTCCTGGCAGAGGCAGGGTCCCTGGGCGACTGGGCTCTGGGAGGCCGGTTTCCGTGCCCTGTGGGGGGTGCCAGGAGGGCAGCCTGGTCTCTGAGCTCAGTTCTCGTGCCCAGGCAGTGGGGTCCTAGTGAGGAAGCTGTGTGAGCTGCAGCCCGCGGAGCAGTGCTGTGTGGTGGGGACCCTCTTCAAGGCCATGCCGCTCCAGCCCTCCATCCTGCGGGAGGTCAGCGAGGAGGTGAGTGCACTTCCCTGGGGACAGTGGGCCACTTGCCTTGGACCCCAGGATTTGGGGCTGGGCCCGGGGGGTGGGGGGAGCATCTCAGTGAGCAAGCACAGGAGCCCTGGTGGACTCTGGCCCGACCACCCCTCACCTCTGCCTTCCAGCACAACCTGCTCCCCCAGCCCCCCCGGAGCAAGTACATCCACCCAGACGATGAGCTGGTCCTGGAAGATGAATTGCAGCGTATCAGACTGGAAGGCACCATCGATGTGTCCAGGCTGGTCACAGGTGGGGCGTGGGGCGGGGTGGCCTGTGCCTCAGGCAGTGGGTGAGACCCAAGTGGGGTCAGTTCCCGCCTCTGCCCAAAGGCAGTGGTCCCAGAACGCAGGTCCTGAGTGGAACTCGCCATTGCGGTGGAGAGGGGGATGGCTTTGCCGTGTGGGTGCTGTAGGAGGTGATCCCTCGGCCCCCCTCCTGGGCCTGACGCTGCTGCTCCCAGGGACAGTGCTGGCCGTGCTGGGCTCTGTGAGAGACGATGGCAAGTTCTTGGTGGAGGACCACTGCTTCGCAGGGCTGGCTCCTCAGACGCCTGCACCACCCCTTGACCTGGACAGGTGAGCAGGTGCTTGGGGTCCCGGGCAGTGGTCCAGGGGAGTCACGGTCCCTGGACTCCATCTTCCTGCTCACCCGTGAAGGTGATGGGGGCGGGGGCACCTGTTTCCATGGCACCCAGAGGACCCCGACTTCTGCTGCAGGTTTGTGCTGCTGGTGTCCGGTCTGGGCCTGGGTGGAGGCGGGGGTGAGAGCCTGCTGGGCACCCAGCTGCTGGTGGACGTGGTGACGGGGCAGCTGGGGGACGAGGGGGAGCAGTGCAGTGCCGCCCACGTGTCCCGCGTCATCCTTGCTGGGAACCTCCTCAGCCACAGCACCCAGAGCAGGGATTCCATCAACAAGGTAGGGCGCCACCTGCCTGCAGCAGCCCCTCCTTCCCTGCGTTGGGCTCAGGGTCTTGCAGTTCTGGTGGGCAGTGCCCAACAGCGATGTCCGGGCCACCTTTGCCCAGGGACCGCCCTGGCTCAGCCCCTGCCTTCTGCCCCCTGTGGGAGGGCTTTGCTCTGCTCCCAGCCCAGTGCCCCAGGCGGTAGCTAGGTGACCCTCTGATCTAAGACTCCCCAGGGCCTCACAGCCTATGGCTCTCCTCCCAGGCCAAGTACCTGACCAAGAAAACCCAGGCTGCCAGCGTGGAGGCTGTCAAGATGCTGGACGAGATCCTCCTGCAGCTGAGTGTGAGCCCGGGGCTGGCAGGGATGGGGCTGGACACTGAGGCTGCGGCCGGGCACCAGAAGGCAGGCGGCGAAGGGCATCGGATGGGCTCCAGGCTGCATGGTGGGTGCCGGCCCTGAAGCTCCTCTGCCCTGTGCCCTCCAGGCCTCGGTACCCGTGGACGTGATGCCAGGCGAGTTTGACCCAACAAACTACACACTCCCCCAGCAGCCCCTGCACCCCTGCATGTTCCCACTGGCCACCGCCTACTCTACGCTGCAGCTGGTCACCAACCCCTACCAGGCCACCATCGATGGAGTCAGGTAGCCAGCACAACCCAACTGCAGCCTGACCCATGGCCTTTGGACTCAGTGGCACCAGGAGGGGAGGGTTGGGTGCAGGACTGCAGAGAGCCCACCTCAATTGGCCCCTTTCCTAGGGTGCCTGGGGACACCCCCACGTGCGCCTGGTGAGGTCGGGCTGCCTGTGGGAGGAGTGCAGGTGTCAGAGCCCCTTGCCCCGCAGGTTTCTGGGCACAGCGGGACAGAACGTGAGTGACATCTTCCGGTACAGCAGCATGGAGGACCACCTGGAGATCCTGGAGTGGACCCTGCGTGTCCGCCACATCAGCCCCACAGCCCCTGACACCCTGGGTAATGCACGGGCTCAGCTCTGTGGGGTGGGACCAGAGACCGGGGAAGGCCTGGTGGCCCCTTGATGCCCAGCGGGTTCCCGCGTGGATTTGCACTCACCGGCCTTGCCCCAGAGTACGATGCTGTTCTGGGAGCTGCCCTAGAATTGCCCCGCACTCAGCTGTCGGCCCCCTTCTCTAGGTTGCTACCCTTTCTACAAAAGCGACCCGTTCATCTTTCTGGAGTGCCCGCACGTCTACTTTTGTGGCAACACCCCCAGCTTCGGCTCCAAAATCATCCGAGGTAAGCTTTCTCTTCGGACAAGGACTCACTCTCTTCGGGGCCCAGGCTCATGGGAAAACCCGCGCGGGAGCCCAGGCCCACCTGGCGCAGGCCGACTGCCTGCCGGCCGGGCGCTGCACCTGTCCACGCCCATGGCCGGGCCAGGGCTCCTCCGGTCGGCGTCACGTTAGCCTTGGCTTCTGGGTGTCTTCGGCCCTTTCCATTTCTGCCCAGAGGAGCCTTGCGGCCAGCACTCCCACGTGCTGGGGGGGCTCCCGTGTCTTGTGGTGGCTTCCCTTTGAGGCGGGCTCACCCAGAACCTAAAGTGGTCCCCACGGGTCTTGTTTGCAGGCCCTGAGGACCAGACGGTGCTGCTGGTGGCTGTGCCGGACTTCAGTGCCACGCAGACGGCCTGCCTGGTGAACCTGCGCAGCCTGGTCTGCCAGCCCATCAGCTTCTCGGGCTTCGGCGCCGAGGACGATGCCCTGGGAGGCCTGGGTCTGAGCCCCTGAGTCGTGGAGGCGGCCTCTGCCCCTGCCGGGTCAGCGTGAGCAGCTTGTCTGTAAATAAACCTGACGGCTAACTGGTGATCTGGGTGGACCTGAGCTGCGCCCGCGCCCTCCTGTGGGGGAGCCCACACCAAGTGGGCCTCCTGCCCTCTCCCCAGCCGGTCAGGCCCGTGGTCAGGGACACCTGTGCCGTGAGCTTGTTTATTAGTGTGGGCTGGGCAGCAGTTAAGACGGGTGCCCTGGGTGCGCCTCCAGCTCCTCCGCCTGCAGGGTCCGACCTCTCTGAGGCCGGGGGCAGTCCAGGAGCCTGGCAGACCTGGCTCTGAGGTGGTGGGCACGTGTGCGCCACACCAGGGGGGCCTGGTGTGCTGATGGCTGCCGAGCGGGCCCAACGATATGACCTGGCATGGGCTCCAGCGCTTGAGACCTGTCCTCAGAAGTCCCCGAAGTTCACCGTGTAGGTCTCCACCGTGGTGAAGGGGAGCCCCGGGCCTGGGCCTGCGTCCCCCTCCCCCTCCTCCCACTCCTCCTCCTCCAGCCCCAACTCGGCCCCAAACTCCTCAGTCCCCAGTTCCGTCACCACCTCCGTGTAGGTCTCAGTCTCGGACTCTCCCCAGTCGGCCGTGGGCTCAGGTGGAAGGCCCCAGGGCCCCAGGGTGGAGTTGGGGACGGACGTTTTATGTTCCCATCAATCTGTTGGCGTTTCTAAGGAGTTCCTGCCCATGGCCAGGATCTCCCGGATGCGCTTCCAGTTGGAGCGCGCCAGGACGAAGTTGCACTGGGTGGCCCCGATGTCGTAGTCCACGTTGCAGGTCTTGGCGCTGGGCGTGTAGCCCTCCGCCTGGGCCGTCACGCGGTACTCCCCGGGGTTCAGGATGCGCCAGTAATCGCCGCCAGAGGCTGCAGGGGGGGAGGTGGGTTCAGCTGCTGGAGGGCACCCCACCCGGGCCCCTCTGCGGGGCAGACCCCAGCGTCTGGAGGCACCCCGAGGAGGGCAGGCCCAGGCTCCCCTGCCCGGACCCACACAGATCGGCCCCCACCTTGGGAAATGGGGTAGAGGAGTGCAAGCAGGTACCTGTCTTCACGCCGTGGTTAACGCCACTCACGGAGATGGTGGCATTGGCAATAGGGACGCCCTGTTCATCCGTCACCACCCCCTTGATGCCGCGGTGAACCTGCAGGAAGGGGTGCGGCCGGGCGTCCACATGCTGACCCTGCGGCCTGCGCCCCTGCCCTGTCCAGGCCCCTCTCACAGCCCTTCCCCGCCTCCCCGATGCTGCCCTGTCCCCCCAGCTGCCCCGTCCCCCCAGCCCCACCTGCTCCATGAAGGTGAGCAGGGCTTCCTTGTTGTTCTCCCACTCTCGGGGCAGCTCGCTCTCATGGGGGAACTTGTCACAGCCCAGGTAGATGGAGAGCTCCAGGCAGTTGGTGTGCAGGTAACTGAAGTCATTGATGGCTGGTGGGAGCAGACAGAACCGCAGTCACCCTCACCCCATCCCACACGCCCCACCGCGGCCCCGCCCCAGTCGACTCACTCCCGGATCTGGGGTTCCACTTGGCCCCGTTGACGATGCCCATGCCCCCGGTGTGGTCCTGCGCTTGGCACCCTCCCCGGTAGGGCTCGGTCATGGTGAGGTGGGTGGAGGCGAAGGAGATGGCCAGCCAGCGGAAGATGGCGTGGTCTGGGGTCTCCTGGGCCTCAGACACTTCGTCCTGGTCCTCTCCGCGGGCGGCCGCCAGGGCCGCGGCCATCAGCTGCTCCTGGCTGGGTGTGCGCGCCATGTCATAGGGGTAGGACACGAGCCGCTCGCCACCATTCAGGTTTGCCCCCAGCACGAACGGATTCTTCTCCATCCAGGCGATGATGGCACGGACCTCCGTGGACACCTGGGGGCGGCTCCAAGTGAGGTCTGGGCCATGGCTTCCACCGCCCTCCATGGAGACCCATACCAGCCCTCCCACCCCTGTCCGCCCAAAGCCCTGCAGTCAGTGCCCGGAGCTCCAGGGCCCTGGCTGCTCCCCTGACCCGACTGGCCAGGCGGCGGCCTCACCGTGGCATCCGGGGAGAGGTAGCGTTCGGGGATGGGCAGGTTGTTGTTGGGAACCCGGTAAGGGACCCATTTCCTCTCCTCCGCTCCCCAGAGCACAGAGTTGAGATCCGGGAAGTCCTCGTAGATGTCGAAGCCCTCCTCGGTCCACAGCCCCAGGGCCCAGTTCCCGAACTCTGAACCCTACGGGGCGTGGGGGAGTGGGGAGGTGGAGTGGGGGCGTCAGCAATTGGGTGGTCTAGAC